TCCGCGTCCTGAAAATAAGGGAATCACGCATAATCGGACGTGACAAGTGACGTTCTCGTCGGGTACTGTAAGTCAGCCCCCATCGTCGAAGCGTCAGGACGCCACCGAGAGACAGAAATGGGGAAGAAGAGGGAACGCTACGCTTTTTCCCTCTCTATCCCCTGTGGCTCGTATTCACGGTACACCCACGCACAATGACTGCCCCTAATAGGTACACGCAGCCCTTGATTAGAATCTAGGAGACGAGAGATGCCGGCGACTTTTGTGCGAGCCTACAAATGTATGTTTGCTCGGCCGGGCTCGATGCATCGGGACTGCTGTTTTGTCCCGGAAATATCGACGGGAAGTGTTTGAGGAGAAACGAATACGCGTGGTAGAGCGAGGAAAAGGAGGAATCGCAGTCGGTCTTGAAAGATAAAAACTGCTGAAATCCCCAAATCTGCAACGATGCGTTCCGTTTTGTTTGAATTACAGAATTTACGAAATTTGTTTATTTTATTTTGATGATGTGCATTGAGAGGCCAATAACGTTTTTATTTTAAATCATCGTTCGGTTGTTTATCGAAAATTAATTGCTCCTGTTGAATTATTCGATGAAGTCCCGATGCAATGTTTTCGTACAAACATGGCATCCAGTCATGAACTGTCGATTAAATTGTTTGTCTTAAAAGTTGAAAGTAGCATCCTCGTATTTTATGACGAACAACTGTCATCTTTATTATATGAAGAAATATACGTGAATCGCGTGACTTAGCTTATATAAAACGAAGAGAAAAACTTGATAATTTCAACCTTCGAATTTGCTACATGTATATCTGATTTGTCCATGCAAATTACGCAGCACGTGCGAAGTAAATATGTGTACTCTTCCTCGTGCAAGAATTAAGTCACGCGATATGCCTGCGCGTCCCTGTTTATTTATGCATCGTGTTAAGGAACGGCATTATGTGTAGATTGATCGCGAGCCATCTGATAACAGCGTTACACTTTTGGCACTCACGTGTAATTATAATAATGAATCGTAATTCATGATTTATGACGCGTTCCTGAGTGGCTGACGTGCGTCACGCACGTTGAAAGTGCAAAAGAAACCTTGTTGAACGTATGACCTAAATGCAATACGTACTTAAATTACTATCTTTTTAATAAAAAAAAATATGATATCTAATATCATATCTAAGAAATTATTAAAATATTTTGAGAATTACGTAGATTCTAGAAATATTTAAAATATACAACATTGGATTGGTCAGTAACATGAGTTCTCTCGTAATCACAGCTTCGAGCTGACGTATTATTTAATATGATGTGGCCGGAAAGATAAGAACTAGTAAAACTTCTGAAGGTAGAGAATAGGAGGTGCAAAGGTGCACTTATTATATCTGTGCACTGATAACTATTTCTCAGATAATTTTGTATCAGCAGTTTTATCACCTTCTTACTATTTACAAATGTACATTATTTCAAGTCCTGATAAAATCGTGCGGATAATTTCGAGGAAGAGCTGAAATCTTTCGAAGAATGATATCGCTATTTCAATTACATTTAGCAATACCTGTTAAAGAAAACATAATAATAATAATTAAAAGGCAATCTTGACAAGAATTTGTCTGACTAAAGTGAAGAAGATGAGTGTTACGATTGAGTTCACAATTAAAAAGGGAATGAAAGATCGACAAGATTATCTCGTTGGGGCTCGAGCAGCCGCCGAAAGAAAATCACGCGGTAAGATTTCGGCAGGCTCGAAGCAGAAGCCACCGAGGCCGGAGGAGTTGAAAGTCATCCCGTTAATTACGGGGATCGTTCTAACAAATCATCACGGGGCCAACCGCAAACCCCATAATTGCAGGCCTTATGGTTTCACCCGTGGCACGGCCGCGCTTCCGCAGCTGACCATCGTCGTGCATACGTGGTAGTACCGCCGCTATCTGCCTGGCTGCCTACTACGAAGTCTATAACGGGAACGCAATATCCCGGAACACCCGTGGACTATGGAAGCCATAATGTAGAGCAGAGCCCACCGTGTCCATGAACGGAGTGATTCACCGAAACGATCGCGCGACAGATGCACGATCTGGAAGATAGCCGGTGGATATAACGTTTAACGTTCGGAAGTAGCCCGATAACTTCTCGAAGCCTGCGCGGGATTTTCGCCCTGTTTTTGTTTCCAGCCCCTTCGCCTTCTTCCTCCGAGAAGAGTGGATAGTCAAAAGGATTCACCCTGTACACGTTCCGATATCGTACACATCTGTCGTAACTAGAAATACAAAAATTCCTAAGTCTGAGCATTTCGATCTTTCAGTTACGTAGAAACAATCTGATAAAAATGTCAAATTTTCAAGAATGGTTAAATGTCCTAATTTCAAGTTCTACTAACTGACCTCGGATTGAAATTGATGAAAAAAAATACAGTGACTAATTTGCGAATTCATTTCCAAGTAATGATACATTAATGAGTTTGTGAAGTGAGTGAAGTGTTGGATTTTATGCATTTATAAAAAAAAGTGAATGTACACAAACTACTGTAAACGTTGCATGTAATGTATAAAAATGCAGGAATTATTAAAAGCTTGTTTAAAAAATGTGTTTTAAATATTGCAATATTTGATTTCCTATGAGTTTCTTTTATCATTTAAATATTAATAGATTTTTATGCAATATAAGCGGCTTAAGGTAGTCAATTAATAAAGTGCATTTCAAATTGCAATTTCCCTTATCATTTCCTTTATACGCATTCGCCTTTTATATTTTGTATACTTTTATGTATCAACGTTTATACTTCCAGTACATTCAATTATTTCAATGCATAAAATCCGCAGTGATGGTTTTTAAAAAGGAACAAGCAACAAAAACGAAAGACTAAAAAATTGTTCCCAGGACATTATAAATATACGTAGCTAACTTAATAATAATTTGCCAAAATTCATTGAAAAGTTCCACGGGTATCGTAGATAATGATCTTCCCTCCTATTTTTCAAATCAATTTCGAATCTGTCCCGCGACCACAAGCCCAGTGCGATTGCAGAATTGGCACGGGCTTCTTGATCGTGGGATTCCATATCCCCGGGGATCGAAGGGAATGATCTGGATTTCATCCGACTGCGGAACGTCCCTCGGGAAAACTTGGACGTTCCCTTAATTACTGCGTTTTACCCGTCGGTAGAATAATTAAGACCAACAGGGTCATCCCGGCGATGCGATTATCGCCGGTAGCCGAGAAATTCTGTGATTAAAGTTTATGCACGGGACGCGGGAAAGGGTTTAATTCGTTCGCGTTTTTATACCGTTCCCGAGAATCTCGAGGAAATCGAGAATGTTTGACCTTCCGCTGATGAAACCGAGAATCGTAAAAAGGGCTCGTTGCGGTGCGGAAAATTTCATCTTTAAGACAATGGAATTCGGATTTATTATTGTCGAATATTATCACTGGAATAATGAAACTTAAGTGCACGTGTGAATAAAATATTCCTTTGTGTACGTAAAGTGAAAAAAAAAATCGATATCTGTTTGAATATCGTGTGTGAGAGATGAAAGAAGATCGATGACGGCGAAGCGACCTCGCGGCCATTTTAATCAAATTTATTACATTTACAATTATTTTAATGAAAGCGCCGACGTCGATGACAGTTTAATAAACCAAGAGCTTTTGGAATGGCAATTACAATCAACCAGCAAGCTTCGATCCTTCTGTAGACAGCATTTTTTACATTACATACAATATATTTAACGTGAAAGTTAATTAATGCAAGTGATTATACAAAACGAAAGAGAACATCGTGACGAAGAATTTCACCATTTTACGTAACGTATCATGTTCTGGAAACATTAATTATCGTACTTCAAATTATCAATATCAATTAACTGGACAAAGTTTGAAATTCATAAAATATACTAAACAATGACGTTATTTGCAAATATAATATTAAATTTATTACAATAAAAATTATGGAGCCATACTAGTTTTTACAATGTAATTGTAAAAGGGATTGTCACTTTCTATTTGATCGAACGTCTCCACTTCAGAAATTTAACAATACAATAGCAATCACGTTAAAATCACCTGCTGGTGATCCGTATGCGCAACCTGTTCGATATCTTTCTCAAACGTTATCGATTGCAAGCCATCAATGAAGACAATTATCCAGTCACGTGCCGATTCGAGTGCTTACGTCCGAAGAGAGCCGGAGGGGAGAAAAGTAGAGATAGAGCAGGTCCTTTTGGTCCTTTGAAGATCCTTCGACATTGATAAATGTCGCGCACGTGACGCCGGTCATTCTGTTCCTCGCTCGCCGTCGTTCGACGTTCATGGATTTTTTATGAAGATTTTTAACGCGTGTTCCTTCCCTCTATACCATTATTTTCTTATTTACAGATTCATACTGTCAATTGGCATAATGTAATAGCAAAACTGATTTAATTAAATTCGCAGTGAGAAAATTTAATGTGATCGATGACGTTCGTTCGATTTTGGGATACAATTCATTAAGGCAACAATTGATATTTTGCGATATTTACTTTCCAAATTTGTATATTTATAGAATGAGATTTGCGAAAGTGATTACGCCTTCGGTGAAAGATTTTATCAAATCGTATATAAACTTTACGCGTGCTCGATACGTGACTTCGATTCTAATCTGTGGATAATGATACAAATCAGGCCAAATGTTTGTATCCAATTACTATGAAGTATACGTGTCCTGATAAAGTACATTCAACTGGTAGTAGCATAGTAAGTGAGACTTGCATTCCCATGTAAGTTTCAATAAATTATTCTATTGGTTCTACTTATATGTATTATATTTTATTTATATTATATATTATTTTCCTGAGAAAATGATTTAATTGTAATTATCCCTTTCACACTGAATACAATTAATTTCAAATTACATAATAAAATAACGAGTTTACATTATCTGTTTCCAAATCGTATCTTAAATAAAAATTCCATATCATATCTTATACATATGTATAAATGACAGTGTGAATTCGTAATATCGCAGATCAGTTAAACTTCGATCGGTAAATCGACGCGCATTCCAAACATGAATGCGGAGTGGGAACTCGACTAATGTCAACGCTCGTAAAGCCAGGAACGCATCCTTGGAGCAGCGCAGGATCAGGACGATTCGTCCGACAGTACGTAGGCGGCATAGTCCTGTGCCTCCCTGATTTCCCAGGGGATTCGCCGCCGCTTCGTTTCCACTGTTCTACGCTCCACACCCTCAAGCGAATCCTCTTCCCATACGTACTCCCTCCCGTAGAAACCGTGAAACTCGCTGTTGCACGGACCTGATGATTACCATACCGTACGATTGGTAACTTTATCGTAGAAAAATGTTCGCCCTCGATATTCGGATGGACTGACGTGATGTGTAACTAGCGATTCTGTACGAATACGAAATCAAATTGGTTTTTAACTCTGATCTGCAGTGTAGATTTTTTATAGTAATAGTAACCGTTTTTTTTTATGACGTTTCCGTTGAACTTACATGCATTCTATATACAATAATTGTCCTTATATGATATTATAATATTTGATATATGTATGTACATAATTTTCATGCCTGTACGTGCCAGTCTCCTAATTTTTTATTGTATCCTTTCTTAATTAGCATCCATTTCTCATATTTTGCTACTTCCTCTTCTTCTCTCAAGATTCCTCTCATCGATATTTCGTCTTTGCCATAAACTCCTACATTATGTATTCTAACGTTTCCGGCTCTTCCATATGCGACAATTGTTTTCTTGTACTTCCTCAAATATTTACTAATATTTTCTTGATTTCCATATTTAAATCTCGCCACTGTCTTCTGGTCTCTTACGTCGTATTCCTTCTTTTCTTTCATAATTCCGGTCTCTGCTCACTTCTAATTGTTTTGTATTTTGATATAAATTTTTAATATTTATATTTAATATATCTATAATCCTTTTTCTAGTCGAACATGTTTCTCTTTCATTTTGGTAATGCTTAAAAAAGCGAGCAATGTCCTGTGTAACGGTATTAACTATGCTCGTCAACGATGAATTCCTGAACTCCAATATCTTCACCGATGATCAGGTGCACCGCGGCTTTCGTTGCTGAAAGTTAAACAGAAATCCAGGTCGGGTGTAGCTTAGTCTATCGATCTTCGATAATTCCCACAGTTCGCGCGGCTGGCGTTTAATCCATTTACAAGAGTTGTTATCCTTCTGTCATCCCATAATCCACGTACGACGGATTGACGCACGTACAAAGTTAAGGCTAGCTTTTCCCCATGGCTGACGTGTTTTTTTTAAAATAAACGTTGATTAATCACACATATTCAACTGCAATTCCATTAAACCCCATTTTTTTTTTCTGATAGAAATATACGTGTAAGAACGTACTTCATAGTTTATCTTGGAAATTATATTAGTACAAGTATA